TCTGTATGTCTGACAAAATTCCGCGGTAAATCCATCTGGCCCGGGGGTTTTGTTCTTGGGTAGTTTTTTGATTACCGCTTTAATGTCTTTGCTGGTAATTGGTCTGTTTAGATTTTCTGTTTTTTTCTGGGTCAGTCTTGGAAGGTTGTATTTTTCTAAGAATTTGTCCATTTCTCCTAGGTTTTCCAGCTTGTTAGCATATAGGTTTTCATAGTATTCTCTAATAATTCTTTGTATTTCTTTGGGGTCCATCATGATTTTTCCTTTCTCGTTTCTGATTCTGTTGATGTGTATTGACTCTCTTTTTCTTTTAATAAGTCTGGCTAGAGGCTTATCTATTTTGTTTATTTTCTCGAAGAACCAGCTCTTGGTTTCATTGATTTTTTGTATTGTTATATTCTTCTCAATTTTATTCACTTCTTCTCTGATCTTTATTATGTCCCTCCTTCTGCTGACCTTAGGCCTCATTTGTTCTTTTTCCAGTTTCGGTAATTGTGACATTAGCCTATTCATTTGGGATTGTTCTTCCTTCTTTAAATATGCCTGGATTGCTATATAGTTTCCTCTTAAGACTGCTTTCGCTGTGTCCCACAGAAGTTGGGGCTTTGTATTGTTGTTGTCATTTGTTTCCATATATTGCTGGATCTCCATTTTAATTTGGTCATTGATCCATTGATTGTTTAGGAGCATGTTGTTGAGCCTCCATGTGTTTGTGAGCCTTTTTGCCTTCTTTGTACAATTTATTTCTAGTTTTATACCTTTGTGGTCTGAAAAGTTGGTTGGTAGGATTTCAATCTTTTTGAATTTACTGAGGTTCTTTTTGTGGCCTAGTATGTGGTCTGTTCTGGAGAATGTTCCATGTACACTTGAGAAGAATGTGTATCCTGTTGCTTTTGGATGTAGAGTTCTATAGATGTCTATTAGGTCCATCTGTTCTAGTGTGTTGTTCAGTGCCTCTATGTCCTTACTTATTTTCTGTCTGGTGGATCTGTCCTTTGGAATGAGTGGTGTGTTGAAGTCTCCCAAAATGAATGCATTGCATTCTATTTCCTCCTTTAATTCTGTTAGTATTTGTTTCACATATGTTGGTGCTCCTGTAGTGGTTGCATGTATGTTTATAATGGTTATATCCTCTTATTGGACTGAGCCCTTTATCATTATGTAATGTCCTTCTTTATCTCTTGTTACTTTCTTTGTTTTGAAGTCTATTTTGTTTGATACTAGTACTGCAACACCTGCTTTTTTCTCCCTGTTGTTTGCATGAAATATCTTTTTCTGTCTTTTGACTTTTAATCTGTGCATGTCTTTGGGTTTATGGTGAGTCTCTTGTAAGCAGCATATAGATGGATCTTGCTTTTTTATCCATTCTATTACTCTGTGTCTTTTGATTGGTGCATTCAGTCCTTCTACATTTAGGTTGATTATTGAAAGATATGTACTTATTGCCATTGCAGGTTTTAAGTTTGTGGTTACCAAAGGTTCAAGGTTAGCTTCTTTACTGCCTTACTGTCTAACTTACCTTGCGTATTGAGCTATTATAAACACAGTCTGATGATTCCTTATTTCTCTCCCTTCTTATTCCTCCTCCTCCATTCTTCATATGTTGGGTGTTTTGTTCTGTACTCTTTTTAGGAGTGCTCCCATCTAGAGCAGTCCCTCTAAAATACCCTGTAGAGGTGGTTTGTGGAGGCAAATTCCCTCAACTTTTGCTTGTCTGGCAATTGTTTAATCCCTCCTTCATATTTAAATGATAATCGTGCTGGATACAGTATCCTTGGTTCAAGGCCCTTCTGTTTCATTGCATTAAATATATCATGCCATTCTCTTCTGGCCTGTAGGGTTTCTGTTGAGAAGTCTGATGATAGCCTGATGGGTTTTCCTTTGTAGGTGACCATTTTTTTCTCTCTCTCACTGCCTTTAATACTCTGTCCTGGTCCTTGATCTTTGCCATTTTAATTATTATGTGTCTTGGTGTTGTCCTCTTTGGGTCCCTTCTGTTGGGAGTTCTGTGTACTTCCATAGTCTGAGCAACTATTTCCTCCCCCAGTTTGGGGAAGTTCTCAGCAATTATTTCTTCAAAGACACTTTCCATCCCTTTTTCGCTCTCTTCTTCTTCTGGTACCCCTATAATGCGGATATTGTTCCTTTTGGATTGGTCGCACAGTTCTCTTAATATTGTTTCGTTTCTGGAGATCCTTTTATCTCTCTCTGCATCAGCTTCTATGCATTCCTGTTCTCTGGTTTCTATTCCATTAATGGCCTCCTGCATCCTGTCCATTCTGCTTTTAAGTCCTTCCAGAGATTGCTTTATTTCTGTAGTCTCCCTCTGTACTTGCTCCTTTAGCTCTTGCATATTTCTCTGCAGATCCATCAGCATGTTCATGATTTTTATTTTGAATTTTTTTTCAGGAAGACTGGTTAGGTCTATCTCCGTAGGTCCTCTCTCAGGGGTTGTCTGGACTATTTGGACTGGACTAAATTTCTCTGCCTTTTCATGGTGATAGCAGTGGCTATAGGCAGGTGGCAGATGTGTCAGCTGGGAGAAGAAAGTCCTTTACTGCTTGTTGGACCCTTTGCCCTTCTGTGATGCCTGTGTCAGTTACCCGCACTCCTGGAGCAGCCACCGGGTTATTCCCCTAAGCTGCTGTGGGTGGGGTCTCTGTCAGAGCAGTGTAGAGCCCTGGGCGGAGTGGCTGGCACGCCGGGTGCACTCCTCCGCGATAGTGGCGCCCCTGCTGGGCAGCTGTGTGCCGACAGTGGCCTTTGGGTCTGGCCCGGGCGGGTGTGTATCAGGCTGGGATTCCGGCCGGCTGCTGGGAGCACGGCTGCTCCTGGGCTGCTCCTCCGCCTCTGCCGCCGGCTCCCACAGGTCACTCCCAGGCCCCTCTGGCACCGCGGTTGCTGGTGCACGCAGGCCCCTCCTGGGACACTCAGTCGCCGCTGCCGTGGGCTTGCGTGGACCTCTCCTGGGCCCCTGTGGCACCACGGCTGCTGACACGCACGGGCTGCTCCTGGTCCCCTCTGGCCCTGCTGCCCCTGGCACATGCTGCTGCTTTCCCACTACTGGGCCGGTGTATTGGGGTCTGCGCCAGTTGGGGGAATGACTGGCAGGCTGCTTAGTGCCGTGAGGGGCTTCAGAGGTGCGATGCTGCCCAGGGGGTTAGGGCTCCTAACGTTTCCTGGGATTCCCAGCTGCTGGCTAAGTGTGCTGGGATGACTTCGCCCAGCTGTGGGGTCCCTATCTCCTTAAGACTTGCAAAACACACTCGCTTTTCTTTTGTCTCAGGGGCGCCAGTTGCGGGGACCTACCCGCAGGTTTTGCTTTTCCGTTTCTCTACTATCCAGCACCCCGTGCACCTTGTGTCTGTGCTCCGGGTGTGGATTTCTAGAGTTGGTTGTTTAGCAGTCCTGGGCTTTCACTCCCTCCCCGTTCCGACTCCTTTCTTCCCACCGGGTTCTGGGGTGGGGGAGCGTTCGGGTCCTGCCTGGCCGCGGCTTGTATCTTACCCCCTTCGTGTGATGTTCATTCTCGCACATCTCCTGGCTGTTGTATTGCATCCACTGGTGTCTCTATTAGGAATAGTTGTATTTATTGTCTTTTCATAAATATATATGTTTTTGGGATTTGATTTCCACTGAACTACTCACGCTGCCATCTTGGCTCTGCCTCCTGATATTAATTTTTAATAGAGGACCAAATTATTTTGTGAGATAGACAAGAAAGGATACATGGAAGACAGATGAGCAGAATTTGGGACATGGTAAGTTTGAGAAGCCTTTGGAAAATTTCTAAGTATAAAAACCAAAAACAAGTTTTTTAGTTAAAGCCATAGAGGTGATGCAATGCCCCAACATGGTTGAAGGAGAAAAGAAGGCTTGGATGGGATCCTGGAAGAGCTCCGTGTTAAAAGGGGAGGGAATGCACAGAGAGTAGTGAGAGATGTGAGTGTTAAAAGGAGAGAGTGTTAGCAAGTGGGAATCTGTCAATAGTATGACTGTAGGTGAGCCTAAAGAGAAAGCAGCGTGTTGGTTAATTCATCAGCTATTTGAGACTTCAGGCAGAGCATGTAAAGCTATGGCGCTGTTGACTGTGCTTGGCCATAAAATTTAACAAGACCAGTATCCAAACTTTTAGCTAATACTAAAAATTATTAAGGAAAAATGATCCAGATTTCATATTTTTCATGAATGCTGTGTATAGTTCTGTCCCTGTCACTGAATTAATCAGGACCTTGGCTAAGAAATAATCTTCCAGCCACTTGGTTTAAAGCAAAGTTAGGATATAAACATATTTGTATTAATTTAAGGATAAGCTTAATTATATGGAAATAGAGCCTAGTTTACATCCTTGATGATTCTTCAGTCTTTGAGTACACATATAGATAGGCTTGTATGTTTCCTAGAAAGTTGAGGCGTACCATGGCTTGGACAGAGCTTGGCTCTTTAAACTTCTTCTCTTATTACCAAAGTAATTTATACAGACCATAGATCCAGCACATAACAGCACAATTTCTACAAGAAGCCATTTGTAGAGCTGGTCTGGAAGGTTTGGGTACATAATGAGTGAATTGATACCTGCTGGTATATTGCTAGATTCTTACCCAAGTCCAAATCCTGATCATGGTTTTGTTTTGCTCTTTCAATGTTTGCTTCAAGTCTGACCCTAGATGGTAGTTTTTTTCATCAAGTCAGGAGAGTAGAAGAAAAATCAAGAACTCTGAAGCTGCTTTTCAAAAGTTTTTGAACTGTGGTGTTTGCAAGTACTCTGTTATGAAGACAATATAATCAATTTATATTGTCCTTATATAATAATATAGAGTTTATAATATAACAGTTTATAATATAAATATAATAGTTTCTAGTAATGGTAATATTCCTTAATGTTTGGGGTGAGATTGTACAAAAAAGTATCCATGTCTGGAAGTAGCTTTTAAGTAAGAGCATTTTTTAATGTAAGATTATGCTTAAAATCTACATTCAATTTTGGCTTTGTTTACTAGGATCCATGTTCTCACAAGCAATGAAGAAATGGGTACAAGGAAATACTGATGAGGTAAATTCTACTTTTAGTGTTAAGAGATCCCTGTTTATTAGTGGCACCTTGTCTAAGTAAGATTTTAAGTTTTCTCTTTCCCACATTTAAGAAATGTGGCACATTACTGATCTCTTATCCAGATGTAACAAAAAAGGGTGGACCCTCTTAGCATCTCATAGCTGGCTGGTGGAGGCAGTGGAGATATCTTCAGTGTGAAGACTGTGACCACTGAAAAATATCCATGCATTCAAGTGTCCACCAACCAGCAGGCTTTAGTAATCAGTGCAGTACTAAAGTTCAGTTGTTTCCTTCCTCACTGTCAGTTTTACTTTAAGAAGTAAAGGCTTGCATTTGAATAGTTAAGTTGAGAAATGGGAGTGGAAAAGAAAACTGTTTTGTTTTGATCATCTAATGTGAAAATAGTCACAATGTTGGGTACCCAGTAGCTAACTCTGGAACAATGAATCGCATGTTAATATCAGCTAGCTGGTGGCCCAGGCCCTTTCATACATGGGAATATGCTTCTTATCCAAATGAATAGAAACAACATGCATATATAGCTGTGTTTCGAGCACTGATGTTGTATGTCTTGATTATTCTAATGAATAACTGTTATCAACAGTTGGATTATTTCTTTTAGGCCCAGGAAGAGCTAGCTTGGAAGATTGCTAAAATGATAGTCAGTGATGTTATGCAACAGGCGCAGTGTGATCAACCATTGGAGAAGACTACAAAGGTAAGGGCGACTTGAGTCTGATTCAGCTTGTGTACAACTGGGAAGAATTAGATTCTGGATAGGTAAAATGAGGAAGGAACATCGGGAGCTTCTCTTCCACTTCTGCTTTGAAGAATTAACTGCGGAGGAATTGCTCTCTCATCAAAACAACTAGAAAACTGACAAACTGAAGTATAACAACTGTTTGCAGATACAGGAAAGAAGAGTGACATTGAGGTGGTCCCTAACTCACTGCCGTGCAGTAGTTTCCAAAGTGCAGGAGGAGAAAGCCAGCAGCATGATAGTTTTGCTGAACTGAGGAGTCAGAAATTGAAGTTTGGAGAGCCCAGGGTGGCTAGAGGTCAGAGGGTTGAGTACTGGACACGAAGGTGCCACACAGTATGACTGCTGCAGAGATATTTACAGATGTGTCTTCAGGTCCTTTGCCAAATACTGACCTGTGCATGTGTTGGGTGAAAATGTCCATGAGGCTAGGGAAAGAACTACCAGAAATTAGTAGGCAGAACTTTCTGGAATATGGGGCTAGGAATAGTTTGTGTTTTACTCACTAGTGTGGACAGATACAATTATAATACACGAGGCATTGGGTGGCATCCTCAGAAACATTACACATTACTCCTAGAGCTAATTTAGCTCTAGAGTAGAGTGCCTTACCAAGCTTAAAAGCAACTTTTGAAAGGACCAGACTGCTTTGTGAGTAGTAATTGCATGCCAGCACAAAGGCCAACGCTCTTTAAAGGAACACAACAAAATTCAGCACTCAACCATGTAAAAAACCATGTCTAAAATATAATTATGTGAGGTGATAGATGTATTAACTACCCTTACTGTGGGAATCATTTGCAGTATACATATGTATAAAATCATCACATTATACACCTTAAACTTACACAGTGTTATGTATGTCAGCTATACCATTAAAATTGGGGTTGGCAGGGAGAGATTGAATTTGTACTTAAAACCTCTCTACAAAGAAAACTCTAGGCCCGCATTGAATTTAAAGAAGAAATAATAGCAATTCTAGACAGAATTCAAGAAAATCAAAGAAGAGGTAATATTTCCTAATACATTCTGAGGCCAGCATTACCTTAACACCCAAACACCAGACAAAGATACTACAAGAAAACTACAGACTAATATCCCTCATGAACATACATGCAAAATACTTAACAAAGAATAAGGAAACCAATCAGCAACATATAAAAAGGATAATGCATCCTGACAAGTGGGGGTTATCCCAAGAAAGTAAGTTTGCTTTAATAACTGAAAATCAGTTACTGTTAATTCATCATAAAAATAAAAACATGATTATTTCAGTAAGTGAAGATAAAGAATTTGAGAAAATTCAACGACCATTGATGCCAAAATTCTCAGGAAACTATGAGTAGATGGGAACTTCCTAGACCTGATAAAACTAACAGTTAAAATCTTATTTAATGGGGAAAGACTGAATACTTCCTTTTATGTAGGAAAAAGGCAAGGATTTCCACTCTTAGGATCCTAGCCAGTGCAAAAAGGCAACGGAAAAAAAAGCATATAGATGGTAAACGAAAGAGTAAAACTAGTTTTCTTTACAGAGGTATCATCATTTACACAGTAATGCCTAAAGCTGCTCTGTCCATTATGGTAGTGACTACCCGTGTTTGAACAATATAGAACATTTCCATCATCACAAAAAGTTCTGTTGGACAGTAGTGTCTTGGAATCTACAAAAAAGCTGTTAGAACCAATATTTTTAGCAGTGCTGCAAGATAATCAAACAAAAATGAACCGTATTTCTATTTAGTAGCAATTAACAATTGGAAATTTAAATTAAAAAAACAATAGTCTATAGTAGCATCCCCAAACATAAAATTCATAAGAATATATTTATATTTAATGAAATAAGTGCAAGATTTGTCCAATATAGACTACAGAACAACTGAGCAGAATTAAACATTTAAATAAAAAACAAATCATGTCTGTGAATCAGCAGAAGAACTCAACCTTGTTAAGGTGTCGTTTCTTCCCATGAGGATGATGATGACTGAGGTATAATTGTCAACACATTATATTAGTTTTAGGTGCACAACATAATTATTCAGTAATATTTGTATACATTGTGAAATGATTGCCACAGTAAGTCTAGTTAATTAACGTCACCACCATCCCCAGGCTGTGAGGGATTATGCATTGTAAGTCAGGTTGGTTCTCAGCTTTTTCCATGTTAGTCTTAGGACTGAGTTTTTGTGTCTCCTGTCATTTACCGCTCATCCATTTGCTTTCAGCTTCTGAAATTTTATTGGTGCCTTTTCTCTCATTTGCTTTTTTGTTTTTTTGTTTTTTAAGTGCTATTTTAGGAAGAAGTGAATTGAATGGCTGTGATCAATCCTCCATCTTTGTTTGGAGGTCAGTAGCTATAATTGTTAGGAAATTCTTGCCACAAGCTAATACTGTTTCTCTATAGCTTCACCATTTGGTTCCAGTTTTGCCCATGAGAGCCACCAAATAACCTTCAGAAAATTAAAGACAGCCATTTACTACCCCCAGTCTTTTCTTCAAGCCAGACATTCCCAGTTCTTTCACAGTTCTACTTTTCCTAACTTGAGTTGATTCTCAAAGACATAATGTGATAGGATAATTTCTGCTCATGTAATTTGTGAAGGCATTAAACCATCATTTACATTAGCAAACATTAGGACACAGTTAAATATGTTCAGATGGTGTCCCATATAACCCTTAGTAGTTTGAAGGGCTTAAATTTAGATTTAAGTCCAGCATCACCCTTTCCTTGCCAACTCTCTACTCTGCCAGTCATTACCAGAGCTTGGTTTTATTGTGAACTTTTTTTTCATTCAAGGCTCTGTTCACTTTTGCAGACTCTTTCCTTTTTCTGTGTAAGGGGTGATAATCTTTGTCTATATTTATCTTCACTAGCTCAATAAACCTAAAATAGCAAAGAGCAAGGTAAAGGTGTAGATAAAAGGTAAAAGAAGCGCAAGGTAGTTATTTTTGTGATTCCCCATTATCATATTGATGAGCAAGTGTTTGACAATATGAAACGTATTCTTGGGAAACCATTTTGGAAATCAGATGTTCAAGGCTTTTCATTTGAATTGTATGTTCAGGTTTTGTTACCACCATGTGCTTTTTCATTTTTAGGATATGCAGTTATATAGCTTGCTATATTTTGTTTTTTAAGCTTGCTAGGCCTTCTCTTTGGCTGGCCAGGATGTCTGTCCAGCCTGTCCTTTAGAGATCAGTAGTGTATTGATATGGAAAAAGCACTAGGCTAGCACAAATGTTTCGATCCATTTTTAGTCAATATGTGTGACCTTTTTGCAAGTTATTTCCTCCTCCAACCCCTTATTTCCTCATCAGTACTTCAGAGAAATTGGACAAGAAATTCTCGTAAGATCTCCTTCTAATTTTCATTCTATGATTAAATAAATGTGGGAAGTCCCACATCCACAAAGAAGTACCCAGCCTCTTTGGCCCATGTTGATACCTGAGTGCTTTGAATCTCCTGCTCCACATTTGTCTGTAGAAGATACATGGGCATTTAACGGCAGCTACCTCACAGCATTCCTGATTTGTTTCATGTGTGTGTGTCCCTTCCCACAAATAGCAAGGACATGTTTTCTGTGATGTTTGTTTCCTCCCCAGTGCTGGGAGTAAAGGGGCATGCAGCCTCCAGAGCTTGGTCTTAGGAGGCAAGAAGGTCAGAATTCTTTTTTTTCTTTCTAAAGACGTTAAGAGTATCCCCTGTTGTGGCTCTGTCTGCATTTAATAAATCTCCTCTGCGTGGTCATGTAGGTTTGGGTTTTTCCCTGTTACCAGCAATACTTTATGAATGTCTGTATAAGTCTTTGATCTGTCTTAAGAGTATGCTGTAGGATTAATTCATAGAGGCAGAATTACTGTGTCAGAGAGTAGATACTTTGCTCTAATATCTATTACCAAAATGGAAAGCAAGTCTGGTGCCAGTCCTTGTTAATGTAACCTTGGGTGAGTTGCTTGATCTCTTTAAGCTTCCATTCACTCAAAGACAAAAATAATGATAGTCTGATATTTCACCTCACATGAGTGTAGCCAGATCCTGGCTGTCATGAGTGATAGTGTTATCGTAAACACTATGTGTTGATTCTCTTCTTCCTTAATCTGCAATGATAATATGTACTGGTTATAGAAATGTACCTTACTTTTCTCTTTTTCTTTTTCAGCTATGACTCAAGACCTGAGAGAAAGGAAATCTGCTTTTGAAAAATAAGAGAACATTTTTCCTTTGGTTTGATTCTTCAACACAGCCAGTGAAAACAAAGCACTGTATTTCTTTCACAGATATATCACTCTTGTTCCCAAGGAAGAACAGCAGACAATCTTAGACCTCCACCATAAGCAGAGTGACATGTAGACATACTTGCTGCACATGATGTTCACACAGTGGAAGTCAAAGAGACAAAGTGGTATTGTTTACATTACTAGAAAATTAGTAGTTTCCAATGGCAATAACCCATTTATGAAAGAGTTCTAGTCCACTGGAATAGACAGGGACCACATACTGTGCGAGGGAGGTGAGCATGGAGCTGGTGTTTGATGCACAATCTGTAGCAGCGACCCATCCCCACCAGCGTCATAAAGGTGGTGCTGAGGTGTTTGCTTGGCCTCCAGGAGCGGGCAGAGCAGCAGCGCGCTCGTAAGTGGGGGTCGCAGGCCCATTATGCAGTTCGCCTTCACAGAGGCATTAATTTGCAAGGAAGCTGCCAGGGCATGTGCAGGTCACAGTGACATTGTCCTTCCCTTTGGTCACAGTATAGAATTTTCACATTTTAATTGCTCCTGAGATGCAGTATACTAAAACCAGTGTGTCCCCTGCTCCTTTAATTTGAGCACTAGGCCTTGTTCTTCTGGAATTTTGTGCTCCGACTTACTTAAATTTCCCTTCAGAGTATATGTAGAAAGGAATAAATAATAATGATCACTCTGGTTTTTCCTCGTAAAATACCTTAGACAAAATGTCGATTCCCAGATTGTATGAATTTTTTTGAAGAAGGTGGGCAGGCATAGAGGAAAAGCACCCACCTCTGCCTGCCTCCCCTTGGCTGTGAGCTGGGAAGTGTGCATCTGGGGCCTCCTTTTTCCTTTCTTTTGGGACTGTGGGTGACCCCCTCACTGCACTTTCTCTTAGTTGGCTTCTGGATCCAGCCCGTGCCTCCATCATGGGCCTGCACCGTTGGTGAGCACACCCCACTAGCCTGGTGTTGGTGCTTCCTCACCGGGTGTGACTGTTTGAGGGGAAAGAATGAGAAAGTCTTGAATGAATAGAGATTTATTCCATTGCAATATTTGATTGTATAACGGCACACTGTTTCATCAACAGAAGCAAAAAGGCTATATTTTTGGTACTGTGTACCACCTCTGTTATTCTTCTAAAATGAAGTATTCATGTACTTAAACCATATGCTATTTAATTGTGTTTGATTTTAAAATATATATGTATATATCTATGAATTATATTTAAAATTGTGTCAACTTTCTGCTTTCAGGGCATTTATGGCTCTTCTATTGAAATGTGTTGATTCTTCCAAATATTTCCATTTGCTTTACAAAAACCCAGACCACGAGCCACTCCTGGACTTAGCCTTGTGTTTGGACGTTTTATTAGGTGTACATGCTGTGATTAACTCGTTTTGTTCTTTTAACAAAATATGTCTGTCCTTTCACTTTGCTTTGTCTTTAACAGAAAAGCAATATAAAGGTCATAGAATAAAATGTGGTTATGGGTGACTTGCTGCCTCTGCATGTTTTGGAGTAATTTCTGGAAGATTCTAGCCTTTTTAAACTGTGCTTTCAGTTAAAGTAATATGTAGTAATTTCTTTGTATACATTTTGTGCTGAGCTAGAGATGTCAGTAGTTGTAAGGTTCTTTTTTATAAGGAGGAGAGTAGCAGGTTTGAAACTCGGTTCCTTTTTTCTGCTCTACCTGCTGTGGGACTCAGAAGCAGAGTTGGCCTGAAATTATTAGCCAGATGTAGTATTTGATCTAAAGTAGATCCTTGTACTCATTTTAAAATTGGAATTGGATTCATCTGACATTGAGCATCTACCTATGTTTCAGGCTTTATGCAGAGTACCCACAAAATATGATTCCCTGGCAGAACTCAGTTGAACACCATCTTTATCATGTCACTGACATCAACACAAATTGTTATTAAAAAAGGAAAGATGTTAGTGAGAAAGTGATACCTTTATAACTTGATGTAAGACACCACTCCTGTAAGATTTTATGAAAGTAAAAGGCAAATGACAACCAAGTCCAGTGAAGAGCAGTAAAGAGGGAGTGACTTTTTGTACTTGTGTTTCAAAATTCAGTAGAGCTTAATGAAATGTGATTTATATTTCTAGAGCTTTAGCTAGTTCAATAGGAATTTTGAGGGGAAGGTCACCATGAATAATAGAAAATCCAAACTTCTTTGTTTTATTAAAGTACTGACAACTTAGCTCCTGCTGAAGCTGTTGCCCTCTGTCTGATGGCACTGTTTAGGTACCCACCCAACTCATGCTGACCTCTCCCTCCAACAGGAGTGGGGCAAGTTTGTGTACAGCGACCCTTCCCTCTCCTTCTTCCCTCCCCCACATGCCTATTGACTGGATTGGGGTTGAACTCTTGATCCAAAGAGCCCAAGAAGATTCTTTATCTTAAGAATTTTGCAGGGGACAGGAGAGAGCTCACTGTCTGGGATAATAGCTTATGTGGGACATGAAGTCAGGACCTGTGAACTGCCACTGCATGGACAAGCAGAGAGGTTTAGTAGAAATACCAGACACATGAGGGCAGGTGAATCTGAGAGCAGCTGCCCTGGTAGCCTTGTGGACTTGGCTGGTTTCTGGATCTCTTCCTACTGGACTTCGTTTAACCCTCAGGTATTCTCAGAATTCATTTTGGTTTTTAAAAACCACTCTGAAGTGAGTTTGTATTACATGTAACCAAAGGACCTTGACTATTATACCAGACTGCTCTAACAGTTGGTGTGTTCTTGGCTTGTTCCCACAGTACTGCTGAATTCTGGAGAATTCTTCAGTGAACCATCCTTGGTCACTTGTATATTCTCTCAAAATGCAGTCCTAAAGTAATGGAACTAGAAAACACCCTCGTTTTTGCAGGGAGAAGTTACTAAGGCTTGGAAAAGGGTAGGTCCATGGCCTGTTTTGGGATAGTCATTAGACTCAGGCCTTCTGGAGTAGGGCCTTTTCATGCTGCCCCACATCCTTCTGAAGGATTAACACCATCCCCACTTTAGCAACTATCCGGAAATAGAGGGCATTTCTGTTAATGAGCAACTGATACGAAACTTCAAATGAAGGGCAGTAATTGTTACGAAATTCGTAAATGCTGACCACTTCGGTGGTCACCACAAGGCCAGGTTTCTGGCCTTTGGCCGGAGCCACAAGTGGGAATAAATGCCAATAGTTACCGTAGGAAGCCCCTTAAAGATAAGCACTGTAGGCATCTGGGAGGCCTCTCTGGTTGGGCAGGACTGGGAATGGCTCAAGATAGGAAGTGTGGTTCTATATGGATTTTGAGCAGGTGGAAATGGCCATGACGGACGTTGGGAGGACTGGTGTGAGCAAAGGCTTGGAGGGCATTCATACTCGGGGAGAAAAGCCCTTCTGCTTGCCTGTCACAAGGTGGATAGTATTTCTGCCTTAGTAGCTATGTACAAACAAATATTTCCTCAGTCCCTTTCCCTCACACTGCCTGCCCTATCAACAGTCGGTGTCACATTGCTCCTGCCTAACGGGATGGCTGTGCACCACGAGCACCTACAGGACTGCTGCGCAGTCCTCCTGAGGAGCACTCATGAGCACAGGCTGGGGCTGCTGGACCTATGTAGGTAGGCACGGTGCCTAGAGAGAGTGGGCCTAAGTTCACTCCAAGGGCCCTGTGATTTGCCGGGGAGCAATGAGAAAAGGATTGTAGTGATAGTCATTTCCCCTGACTTCAGATACCCTAGCCCCCCACCTTGAATGTCCCTGAAGGCGCTCCCTAAATGATCCCAAGCTGGCATCTGCCTACATTTATGGTAGGAATCCCAGACGCCATCCGCCTTACAATCCACCTTGGAAGACCCGCTGAAGAGCCCCGGGAGCTGAATAAGTGCAGCTCTTAAGTAGTGGGCTCAGCCTTGCTCACCAAAGTCCAGCAGGCTCTCAGACCCTAGGTTTCCTCATCTGGGCAGAGAGCAACCTTTGTTCCTCCTAGTAACAAGTGTTCACCCATTCAAAAGTGTTTTAATGCCTACTGAGTGGCAGGCACTGTTTATGGTACAGGATGCAGGAAGGAATAAACTTCAGGCCCCCTGGAGCTTCCACTCCACTGAGGAGGAGATGAAAGTTGGAAGTGCCATCTAAAATGTATGCTTGGCATTTTTGACTCAAGATAGCCTTTTGAGCCTATTTAACACTCATTCCTTCCACAGTTCTGTGAGCAGTCACCAGACTTTCCTGACCCATAGGGAGACCTACAGGGAGACCCACAAGGAGAAAGGTGCCTGAGGAGGGGTCAGCCTTTCATGACCTCTGACCTCACTTCCACGAGCTGCCTTCCAGCTCAAGGGCTGGTTGCAGTGCCATTCCATCTGCAATACTAAACACTCAGGTGTTCACCTCATTGACAAGGAGCGGGTACCTTGACATCTGAGGGCATCATGTCGGGCCCCTGAGTACGGTAGAAGGGGCCACAGGTTGGCCTCCTGCAGAGCTTTGTAAAATGTGAATTCTTAGGAACTGTAAACAAGACTAGTGTAAAGTTACTATATGTGTGTGATGTGAAATCCCAACCTTGGAAAGACCTAGCTAGCTGCTGAGCTGATTGCATGAGGTGATCAACTTCTGAATTCTACTTTAATTATGATGATAATATTAACCAGCATACTTGCATACTTACTGTGTACCAGGCCCCACCTCATTTGATGTGTATGGCACTCTTGTAAGTACTGGCTTTTCCCTTGTTAAGGTGAGGATCCTGGGGCTTCAGAGGAGAGGAATTCCCCAGGGTCTCAGCCAGGAGTCAAACCCAGGCAGCTGGGCTGCCCTTCTCCCCTCCTCTCTGCTCTGTTGCAAATCGTCATTGGCTCTTCTCTCTTCTGCAGCTTATTGGTACTCACACAAGACCAGTATAGCAAATGTCAAAGGTTTAAGGAAAAATTTAGGGGGCTGGGGCTTTAAAATTTATTAAAAACATTCCATCCATTACCTGAAAGTAGTAGATTTTAAGCTTTCACATGCATCAGGAACTTGTTAAAACATGGATTTCCTGGCCTAACCTGAGTTTCTGATTTAGAAGGTCTGGCGGCAGGGGGAAGCCTGAGAATGTGCATTTTAAACAAATATCCCACATGCTGCTTCTGCTCCAAAGACCTCACTTGTGAGAACCACCACCTTAAAACCTTTCTTGTAACGGGAGATAAATGCTTTCATTCCCTTGTACTGGAAATGCCCATGTTACACAGAAATGTAATTTGAGACCTGTGACTCATGATCCCCTCAAAGGAGCACATAAATCCTTTATGAGTGTTAGATGTTTATCAAACCCGAGTGCACCCAAACATCGCACACTGTCTTAGTCACTGGGCAGGTCTGAGATCATCCAGCCAAGTCTTGCCCCCTCTTGGTGTGAGACTTAGAAGAGGCCACAGGCCAGTCTCAGCCCCATGGTCTTCAGCTCCCTGGGCCCCAGTGCCCTTGCTGAGGGCAGTGCCCCTGACATCTCCAGGGCTAGACTTGGGGCTGTGGGGCTCACACCCAGGGTCCCAGCAGATCTTTTGCACAAATCTTGTCTGGTTCATTTCCTTCCAGTATGTCTTCCAGGTTCTTGATGCCCACTGCCCTCTGCGGTCCTGACATGCCTTTCCTGGCCTGTCTCTCTTGCTGTCCTTTTCGCAACCCTCCCTGGCATCTCACTGGTACCTTTCTCCCCCTCTTCATTTCCCTCCTCTCCATTTCTTCCTCAGCACACATTTCCTGAGAACCTGTATGTGCCTGTTCTAGTTACTGGGCACACAGCAGTGCCCAGAACAAACATACTGCCTGCCCTTCTTGCAGCTTGGAAAACACACGATTCATGCAACGAGTGTTGGGAGAGAGCAAGGGACCCAGCTGGGGGCAGCCTTGCTGGGCCCCTCTGTGATTCAAAGACTTCCTGATCCTCAGTTTCTCCAGAACATGTCCATTCTGCATGTATCTCTTCTCTTAAGATACCATTTCCGCATGTTGCCAGGCAGCTGCGTCTGGGAGG